GATCTTTGAGTGCCTCTCTAGGTTTGGAAACTTTTCTTGCAAGATTTCATGGAATAGATTATCAATGCCCTTATGAGTCTCTTTGCCTTCTGGGATGCCAGTTATTTGGATATTTGGACATTTGATTGTATCTAGAACTTCTTGTATATTATTCTCAAATTTTGGGGCAATTTTCTCAGTCTTTGTGGTGGATTTTTCTAGGCCTCATCAGCAGCTTTCTCATTTCTCTTTTGCAGTTCATTGTCTCTCTTCTCTTCCATCTTGGTTAGCTTTGCCATTATGAATGTCCTAAATTCTTTATCAGACATTTCCATGACTTCCATTGAATGGTCTGTGGATGAAGAGGATCTACTCTTTTCCCTTGGAGGAGAGGTATTTTCTTGCTTTTCCATATTTCTTGTGGCCCTGTGGTGATTTCTAGGCATCTGATGGATGGTGTGTTTCTTCCCAAACTTGAAGTTCAATCACTCTAGCTTGTGGGCTGGAGGCTGAATTATCAGTGGAAAATATTCATTTCTCTCATTCTGCTGAAATCACTGGTTCTCAGGAGCCATGAAGGTGTCTTCTGAAGGGCCAAGTACCTTTATATTGAAATTCATTCTTTTCTCCTAATTTGCTGACTTTCTTTAAAGACTAAATGAAAACCATATATAGGAATATTTTTCTTTAAATGGTTATGAAAAGAGGGCCAAATGGTGGTACAGTGAAAATGCAACTAGACCCACCTGGGAAAGGTTCTGGTTCACGTTGTGAGACCTCCCTGGGCATTCAGGGCATATGGGTCAGCAGAGATTTGCAATGAACTACAGTGTGAGGACCCTCTTGGGGATGCATGCCCCTCTGATTCTCTCTCCTATTCCCATTCTCATAAGAAATAAACTTTAAAAAGAGTGTAAATAAGTGCTACAAATAAGGGCCTAATATAAATGTGTGGTTGTCAGCGCCGGCAGACCTATCTATGTTCAACATCTTTGGGCTCCATCTATGATGATTTCTAAGAGTTTATTAGTACCCCTTTTGGTCCACACTGACACAATTTTATTGCTTTGGATAATGATAGATGATCATCCTATAGATAACTGTGCAATTCCATTTTCATAACTTTGAGGCCATCATGTAAATAGATTCATGAATTGGAGAAAATCCTTTGCTCTTATATTTGGTTTACAAAATTTGTTCTCTGAAACACTAAATTCTGAAATGAAAAGTTATTTTTCCAATGGTATATTTCATGGAAAAGGAAATGGAAACTTCTGTTCGAAACTTGCTTTGCCAGACATCGACACCAGAGACACTTTGGGAGCAGGGTGGGAGATGGCAGCGGGGAAGGAATTAAGAGGGAAAATGATTTAATTAAAAATAAAAACAAAAACAAGACTCAAAACTTGCTTTGCTTCTTTATAATTTTAAAGTCTCTGATGGACTTTTGTTTGTTTGTTTTTAAAGAATTATTCATTTAACTTTATTTACTGTTATTCTATTTTTAAATTTGCTATAGGGTACATACATTCACCAGAGAGAGACAAAGAGAGAGAAAGAGAGAGAAAGAAAGTGAGAATGCAAGCTGCCAGATCTGAGACTCAAACAGCAGTTGACCATGTTGGGGGTCCAGCACCTTAACTACTGAACCACCTGCTGGCTACCCCCTTCCCCCTGCCCCTGCAGTGGACTTTTAAAAAATGTTTGTTGTATTCATGACAGATAACACATGTGTGTGCATGGGAGAGGCAGGGAGGGAGTGAGGACAGCACCATCAACAGTATCTTGTCAGGCTGAGATCCTGTTTCCCTGGGTTTCCAGCTTATCTGTACCTTGGGCATGGCTCCAGGTGTTTTAGGTCAACCAGGCTGGAGATCCCAACCAATGGTTGGCTATGTAGCTTACAGCATTGTAATCACTATGCTACCAACTGCTCTACTGAGACTGGGCTATGGACTTTTTAGATAGTGTTTGGATATTACTATAGAAAGGATACTTTGGGATCATGCATAACTAAGAGAGACTTAACATCAGATCACAGAAGCAGAGATGATCTTGAGGAGGAGAGATTTAGAAAATGCCTCTTGAGCACTACCTCTCCTGTATTGGTTAAAATAACCACAACTTGGGGATGGGCTCCTGCATCCTCACTTTGAGCCCTTGGAATCAGACACCATGCTTGAGATGGAGCTGGTGTGGGGCATGAGAATGAGGAGGAAGAAAGGAAATCAATAAACAAAAAGGTCAAAATTTCATTTGTAAATAAATTCAATATTGGAAGTAAAGGTGCCAAAGAGAAAAATCGAACTATAAATAGAAGGTCAAAAATATGTTAATTACAAGTATCTCTAGAAGCCACCAAGTTTACCTTTTTTGCCTCAGTCCCTAACATATCCTTTGGACAGGACTGTACTCCAGTCATATAGAAAAATTACTTATCTATCCCATGTTAAAGATAACAATATGTATCTATTTCATGCAGCCCTTTGGGTAATCTGCTTTTCTATCTGTTAAAATGAATCCCAAATCACCATGTGTCTTACAGGCATGGTTCCGTTTTGGTAGGCCTGAAAGACAGCCGATCATCACACTTCTCTGTAGCTAAAGCTTTAGCTAAAGCTAATGCTCAATTACACGCTGTGATGGGGAGATGTGAAACTCTAACTCTAAAATCCATAAAACTCATCAAAGATTGAATAATTAGTAGAGCCTTCAACCTTTGCCAACAAAATTCTCTTATCAGACCCACTGAAACATAGCAAAATTAATTAACTTGAATTTCTATCTCTTATTTTCTTTAACTTGTTTTTGCTTAAAGTTTAAATGAGAAGGGCCTAGGAAATCAATAGGAAGATTTCGAGGAGGAAACATGAGCTGGAAAAACTGGAGATTAAATTCACTCATTCATTAGAGGAAGAGGAAAAACCAGCAAAAGAAAACAAAATTTTTGCCCAGTTTCTAGGATACCCTGGACACTCACTGTGAGTATGGCAATGAATAAAAATAGACAAATTCTTGATGCTTCTATTCTACCTGGGAGATGGATAATAAATGAAGCAGTAGCTAGACAATCTATCAGGTAATTTTTGAGTTGTCTTAATTGAACTCTCCCTTAAAAGCTCTTTCAAGGGATTTCATAGTCCTTACTTCCTCTGGCTAATTAATTCCAATTATTCAGCTCTGGTTGGCAAAGTCTGTAAACACATTACAAGCATAATTCCATAATTAGTGAGTGGACTTCTCTTACCTGAAGTTCATAGTATATTTTCTTCAGCGCATTTGCTTCTTCTTCTGTTTGGGGAATAAGTCTTATCACTTTCTCACTATAAGGAAAGGGAGAAAAAGGTGATGTTTACTTTTGGAAAATAAAGGTATTCGTGATTTCTTCCTTATCTCATAGAAGATAGTCTCGCATTTAAAAAGAAAAACTTTCACTGACCACTAAATATTTTTACCCAGTACTGATTGCATTGGTCTTTTTTTCCCTGCCTTAAAACTATTTGGTATGTCACCAGTTTATGAAAATTACAGATTCACATTTAATGTTATAAATGTATAATGAGGCCAAAACCACAGGAGCAGTGGCAACAGGGGACAGGAATTTTCAACAGCTCAGAGCTGATACCAAGAAAAAAATAATCATGGCACAGCAGAAACATTATTTTTGTAATTTTTAAATTAATTTATTTTTAGCCTAATGCTGGAAAGCAATGTGACTTTCAGCAAGAGGACCCGTGAGCTCCACATATTACGGAAAGCTTTTGATTTGGACTTTTACCCCAGTGGAGAACAGTAAAAAGAAACCCATCTCTATGGGGAATCTTACTTCTCTAGTACAGAACTTCTCAACTGGCACCAAGCAGGAGACCCACTAATGCTTTACAGGTGTGCCTTGAGATAGTGATGGGTATAAAATGTTTAGTGTGATGCAAATTTAAAATCAACATTTATAACTATTAACATGTTTCCATAATCAAAGTTGCATTTGAACTGGCTATGAAGTTCTTTCTGTAAAGGTCCTGAATTGCGTAGGGTGACTTGAGGTGTTGTTCTGTCTACCAGAGTTCTCTGTGGGAATGACTACTCCCCTGAGAGCGTCTGACACAGAGTATAAATTTCTCAGTTATGATGGCAAGTTGAGGACAGGTTGGGAAGCACGGTTGTAGTATATAATAATCACAACCCTTCAGTGTGTTTTACATAGAGTAGGTACTTATGAATATGTATGAATGACTTGGCATAAAGGAGCTTACTGAGAATAATTGGCTTCCAGAGGAAATGTAAGGAAAAATGAAGTTAAAAAAAAAATACAACAGGAATAGATTTTTTTCTGTAACTATAGGTTTTTATTATAATGACTGAAGATAAAGTAAAATATTATTACTAACATACATATAAAGCAAAAAGCAAAAATCAGATACCATTATTTCATCCACAATTTGTCTCTCCATCCAAAGGTGCACATCAGGAATGATAGTGGAATTTGCATAATTTCTTATGTTTTTCCTTAGATGGGTAGCAGTTTCCAAGACCAAGCAAAGCTATTATAATCTGAAGAGCCTCACACACCTAGGGAGGCTTCTGGATTTGTTGGGCAGTGACTTTTTATGGTTGTATGTTTATTTCTCCTTACTCTAGCTTTGTTATTTCACACGATTCTTCCGTAGTTTCTTTAGGTCCATGACTCTTTTTGGCTTGCTGGGAATACTTTAGTAATTTTAAGCACTGCTACTCTAACATCACTTTGCCTCTTTGATTTTTCTCAAAAATCACACAAAACAACTGCTCAGTATCAATGTCACAAAGTCTGTTTTTCTGGAATACAACAGGAATAGATTTTTTCTGTAACTATAGGTTTTTATTATAATGACTGAAGATAAAGTAAAATATTATTACTAACATACATATAAAGCAAAAAGCAAAAATCAGATACCATTATTTCATCCACAATTTGTCTCTCCATCCAAAGGTGCACATCAGGAATGATAGTGGAATTTGCATAATTTCTTATGTTTTTCCTTAGATGGGTAGCAGTTTCCAAGACCAAGCAAAGCTATTATAATCTGAAGAGCCTCACACACCTAGGGAGGCTTCTGGATTTGTTGGGCAGTGACTTTTTATGGTTGTATGTTTATTTCTCCTTACTCTAGCTTTGTTATTTCACACGATTCTTCCGTAGTTTCTTTAGGTCCATGACTCTTTTTGGCTTGCTGGGAATACTTTAGTAATTTTAAGCACTGCTACTCTAACATCACTTTGCCTCTTTGATTTTTCTCAAAAATCACACAAAACAACTGCTCAGTATCAATGTCACAAAGTCTGTTTTTCTGGAGAGAATAAAAGAAACTAGAGAGAAAAAAAATCAAGTCATGACAAAACAACTCTAAATCTAAACTTTGGCACTTAAATGTAACACGTCTCTTCTCTCTTCATTTCTGGTACACATTTCTCTGACCTTTGCTTCTCCTGGTTGCATCATATCCTGGCCTCTCCCACCTGAGCTGAGATAATTTTTGGCAGAGAAAGGAAACTTGACTGGGTGATATGGCCGTTTTAGATGGATGGATCTTTTTGACAGCCTGCTGAAAAACACCTCCATCTGGGGCCCTGTCAGCTCCTCCAGAGTGCAAAGAAAGCAATCTGTAGCTGTTTTACAGTCACCAGAAGTTTTTTTTTTTTAAAGATGGATAATTCAACCTGGCAATCGGTTCCTCTTCTGTGAGTACAGGATATAAAGGGCCCACCCCTGGGATTATTTAACCTTGAAAGTGATTGCTCAAACCCAGCTTTGTCATTTTTATCACAAAAAGTTCACTTCATACCAGCCTTTAGAAATTCTCAGGCATGACTTTAGAAATGTGTTTTTTACTGTTTGATTACTTATCAGAGGACAGGGAATAAGGAAAGCTATTTAGAAAACTCCACAAAATGCCAGACTTTTTTGTAAACCAATAAATTACATTGATGGAATACCAGTAACTAAAATCCAACAAGAGTTTTTATTCAGCATGTAAAACCATGGAACTCCAAAATACTCATTTGTTTCACAAAACAAAAAGCTTTCTCTTCCTAAATCTGATAGCTGCTCCTTTTTTGAAGTAGTGTACAATAATTTAGTACCACAAAAAGGGAGATTTCAGGTAGTAAAGTATCTATCAGAACTTAGAAAAACTGTGTACAACTAGCAAACAAGGTACATTGAGGGTCTTTTTTCTTATAATTTATGGTTTCTTTTTTATTCTATTGTAATTTTCTGATTTATGTGTAATTGCTGTACATCTTTTTTGGGTACAATATGGTTTTTAAAGCATGTATACAGTATGTAATAATCAAACCAAGGATATAAACATATTCATCATCTTCAAAATTGAACATTACATCATGTTGTGCACACCTGATATTAAAAAAAAAAAGTAGGCAAAAGTAGTATATATTAAACTGTCAATGATAACTTTTACTCTGCTGTGGTACATAGTCCTATAACCGAGTCACCCTGTTTATGTGCATTCTTGTGTCTGTTAATCATTTTCTCCCCACTCCCTCTCCATACAGCTTCTTTTATTTATCATACTCTCTTGACTTCCACTGAGTCTGACTTCCACTTTCCTTTTTCTTTTTTTGGAGAGGTTTTTGCTATAGGTTTTGCTGTCGCCAGACAGACAGAGACAGACAGAGAGACAGAAAGCGAGAAATCACCCCCCAGGGGGGATGGCCACGCCGCAATCCCTTCTCTCCATTCTCCTCTTGTGATCTTGGGCACGCACGCACACACGCCCGGTGTGAGTTTAAGCTACTGGATCCGAGACTCGAACCATGGTTGACTACATGGGAGTCCAGTGACATAGCCATTATGCCAACTGCTGGTCCCTGACTTCCACTTTCTGCTAAAGAGTGGGGATGCTAAGTATATGTTAAGTAGGGACATATAGTGTTTATTTTTCTTAACCTGGTTTGTTTGACTTAGTATTACCTCTTCTAGGTTTGTCCACTTTGTGTCAAATAACAGGATATTGTTTTTTACAGGTGAGGAGTATTTCATTATATAATGTACCATATTTTCCTAATCTATTCAGTGATTATTGGGTACTTTGGTTGGTTCCACGTCTTAGCTACTGTAAATTATTCTGCAAGAAATGTGGATGTGTACATTTCTCTCCAACAGTGATTTCCTCCAGTGATTTGGATAAGTACCCAGGAATGAAATTATTAGGATAAAAAGGAGTTTTATTTTTAGATATTTGGGGAACCTCAATACGGTTTTCCACAGTAGTTGTAGCAATTTAAATCCCCAACAGTAATGCATGAGGGTTCCCTTTTCTCTACAATCTTCTGGAAATATATTTTTTTTATCATAGCCATTTTGGACTGGGGTCAGGTCATATTCCATTGTGTGTTTTTTTTTTTTTTTGAGAGATTTTCATTGTAGGGCGCGTGCGCTCGCCAGACAGACAGAGAGAGACATAGAGACAGAAAGCGAGAAATCACCCCCCAGGGGGGATGGTCACGCCACAATCCCTTCTCCTCCATTCTCCTCTCGGGATCTTGGGCACGCACGCACATGCGCCCGGCGTGAGTTTTTTTTAAGCCACCGGGTCCGGGACACGAACCGTGGTCGACTATGTGGGAGTCCAGCGACATAGCCATTATGCTAACTGCTGGTTCCCATATCCCATTGTGCTTTTGATTTGCATTTTTCTTATGTTAAGGAAGAGAAATTTTTTTCCCAATACATTTTAGCAGTTTTTTGCCTCCTTTTGTGAGTTGTCTATTTGGATAGATTGGCCATTTTAAAATTAGGTATTAGTTTTTCATGGAGGTGAGCTGTTTGAGTTTCTTATGCATTCTGGCTCTTAATCCCTTATCAGAAATATAATTTGTGGGACCAGCAGTTAGCGTAATGGCTATGTTGCTGGACTCCCATGTAGTCGACCACGGTTCGAGTCCTGGACCTTGTGGCTTAAACTCAAGTCGGGCGCATGTGTGTGTGTGCCCAAGATCCCAAGAGGAGGATGGAGAAGGGATTGTGGCATGGCCATCCCGGTCACCCTCCCCTGGGGGGTGATTTTTCGCTTTCTATCTCTTTGTCTCTCTCTGTCTTTCTGGTGAGTGCACACACCCTATAGCAATAAAACCTCTACAAAAAATGAAAAAATAAAAGAAGTATAATTTGTAGACTAGCCCATGGTGGTTAAGATGGCTAGATCAAATCGCCAACTACACAGTTTGAGTCCTGAACCTGGTGACTTGAGAAACAATCTGGCTGTATGTGTATGCTCAAAATATTGAAAAGAGGAAGAAATGAGGAAAAGAGATTACAGCCTGA